ACAAAAAGTGCTGTCTACTGACCGGTACATCGACTGAAAAGAAATCCTTTCCCGGACCGGCTGTTTATCGTTAACGGTTGTAATACTGCCACACTCGCACCTGCATTCTTGCTGTTTGAGTTGTTTTTTTTCTCTTACGCAAAATGTAATGGAAAGACAATTATATTTTATGGGAAGTATGACACCAAGTACTAATTGCTCTTCTCAGTAATAATAATTACTCACCTACTAAATATATGCTTCTTTTTTCATTCTTTTTTTACTGAATAATACTCGCTTATCAGTAGCGTCACTTAAAGTTTTTTCTCTTGTTCTCTTCACTGCTTGTACATCGAAGAACGCAAGAGAAAAATGTTCTGACTATGCCAATAGAAAATATAATTATATTTGATGTCCAACATATTATTCAATAAAGAATATCTTTGCCCAATGAATAGTCTAAGTATGCCGTGTCTAGTAAATGTTTGCCAAAACAATGGCAAATGCTTTCTTTTACTTAATACTACGACAACAACATATTGTTTATGTAATAGGTGTTTCACAGGTAATCAATGCGAAATTGAACAATACTCCAATAATCTTTGGATCTATGGTATATCAACAGAAAATAAAAAAGATTATAATCCATATAACGAAACAATTGTGCGTAGCATACTTGGGATAATATCATTCGCAAGTAATCTATTATCATTGCAAACGTTTGTATTTTCTAAAAAAATACGTATAACAAATCTTGGTGTATACCTAATATTATATTCATTAACTGGTTTAAGTATGAGTATTATTCAAACTGTATTTGCATTTCTGAATTTAACTCTTAATTTTAAAAAAGTTTCAAAAATGAATCATTTAATACAATGTGGATTTATGTATTTACTTATAAATTCATTAAATTACTGTCTCTGTTGGTTATGGCTATACATTGCAGTTGAACGTGTTCTTATCGTATATTCATTTGTTAGTCTCTATGATTCAAGACGGCGTTCAATTATTTCATCCATATTACTTTACACATTAATACCATTATCAAATATACTGCCTATTTTATTTGGTCGAAAAGGCTATAGTTATGATTCATATGATTTTTGTCTACTAAACTTTACATCAATTGTTTATATATTTTATTCAATATTTAATTATATTAACTATATGGCATCTCCACTTTCATTTGCCTTTGCATGTATATTTATCTTTAAATATCTCCTTGAACATCGTCGTAACTTAGTCAACGACGAATCATTCCGTTCATCATTAGCTTTGATTGCATTCAAACATTGTGACTTTTTTCTACCACCACTGATCTTCTGTCTACTAACGAGTCCTCATTTTATATTTGACAAACTGATGAATTGCTTACGAGCAGATTCATTGGAAGTATCACATACACAGAGTGTAACACGACTATTAGCTGACAGTGCATTGGCATCTACATTTTTTTTCTATGTTTGTTTATCAAAATTATATCTTCAAGAATTTTGGCGCACATCACCTTTTGGACGGTTTTTTATTCATGTTAAAAAACGTATTATATATTGTTGTAAGCCGAGTAAAGCAAAGATATATGCAGTTCAATATTCGCCATCATCGTTACCCACTCATACTCACTCTCTTCTTTAGATGAACTTTTTTTTAATATACATTATTTTAATAAACAAAATTAAGTTTTTCACTTGAACGTTCAAAGTCCATTGAGCGCTTACCCTGATCTCCTTCTCATCTATTTTTCATTTTTAATGTTCCTTCGAACACTAAACTTTGATAAAGAAGATAAAAGGATCATTCGATCGCTAATATTAAGGATTCATGGGTAATGCAGATCACTTAATCCTTTAATATTAACAATTAGCTAATACATTAATTGCTAATAATAAAGAGAACATTTCTCCGTTAATATTTAATAAAGTAAGTATCGGCATCGATCAGATGGATCTTCTCTCCATCTACACGAAGACTCAAACACCCTAGTTCACAACTGACCTCATCACACCTGGTAAATAAGAGAACCAACTTAATGTAATTCATCATAATATTTATATGAAATCTTATTATCCATTATTTCGATCACGGACATGGAATCTATTTTTCATTAATCAGAGATGTGTATTTTTCGTGAGGAAGGAAAAGAAGACAATGTCATAGAACAGAATTTCGTCTCTTCCGACTCAAGACATCGTCATTATTTCCTTTTAAAATTCTCAACATTTTTCTATGACAACTTTCGTGGAGTGTGGGTGTGGGCATTAATTTTAAGTAACCCACACCAGCATTTCATACCCAAATAGAATCATTGTTCTTCATTTTAATTTATTGCATAGCTATTTTCATTTTGTATTGTTTATGCCATATCTTTCGGAGAGGCAAACGAGTTTAAAAAAAGTAAACCTATTGAGAGACACGCTAAATCGACAGCTGATTCATAATTTTTTTGTCTAACGAATATACTATTAAATTAGTGTAGAAACCTAATATAGGATTTCTAGTCCTATACAATTTAACCTCCATAGATGCATTTCAAAAGAGAGAAACTTATAGAAACAGATCGTGAAGAACAAGCTTTCAGCCCAATCACTACGGGATAAAAATATTAGACAGGATGGAGCTACTCTAACTATTTTGAGAACCTAAGGGGTAAAAATAAAAGAACTCCGTACATCACCGTACTCCAAAGGTATGTCAAAACTTCCCTCTAGAGCTATTTAACTTTTTCAATTCTACTATCAACGTGTCACGAGCATAGTAGTTTGAGTTCATTTCGGTACTTCAGGATCTGAGTTTCAGTGGTAGAAGATGAAATATTTGGGTTTTATTGCCAGAGAGATTTATATAAAATGAGCTCAAGTTAATATGCTACCAACGGATGATAATACTAGATTCTACATAACTAAGAGATCACAAAAGATAGCTTTGGCTTACCCAAGAGGTACGCTGAAGCATGAAAGTTTTGCTTGTCCACCCTTTTGCAAATCTCATCGTCTAAATGACAGATCATGACGAAACCCAAAACCAGTCTGTAAGTTAAAAGAACATCGGCATGTTTGTCGAAATCTTTAGTGCAAGCTAGGAGAGATGCTATCAATTTTTCGCTATGTACTTCCACGCTCATTGACAATCATATTTTAGAAAAGCACTAGAATAGTCAAAGAGAAACGTTACGTAGTTTGTGTAGTGATTCAGAGATAGGTATGACTAATTGAGAGGTTAATTTGACCCTTGAAAGATAAGAAAAGTGAACAATGACTCATGCCAGTAAACCAATCGGTCCGGTCCGGTCTAGACTGACACCGGCATCGGTAAGGAAAAACTTGACCGATTGCAACACTGGAGTGTGAATTGTCTCTCTATTCTTACTTATACCCATGTTCGCTAATTTTCATCGGTTTGAATCAATTATTTTCCAATTGTCTCATTAAGTTTGAATCCATTATAATCGAAATTAATCATAATAAACAATAAAATATTTGATGTTTTCGGTTATTTTTGATCAAAATCCGTTAAAAAATTATTAAAAGTCGATGAAAACTGTATGGAGTGCCCAATCTGACTGGATGTCTCAACTTTTTTTTATCACGTAGTTCCTATAATACATCAGAAAATTATGATTTTTTTTGCCAGTTATAGTACTTATGTAGTGCTTCTGATTTATTATTGTCCGAATTATACATCTTGTCCAAGACTAAAATAATGAAGCATTTTAATTAAACTTTTGCGGAAATGCTTTTTAATCAAACTTATTCCCTGTAATTCAGACTTGACATATGGTACAGTAAGAAATACCACTGATATACTTTTATTACAATAATCGATTAGAAACTGCATATAACATATCGTGATCTATGGTTACGAATAGGATGTTCTCACAATTGAAGATTGCATAGAGCGGAATCAACATGTGCAATATTAGTAATTCTATCAAAATCATCATAAGATCCTCTGTAAACATTTCCTAAACTAACATATTTTTTAACACGTTGACTGATGTTTTCAATAGCAGCTCTTCCTCTGCAAATATATCGATTGAAATCTTTGTGGGTGTGGGCTACTTGAAAGTAATGCCCATACCCATATCCTTTGAGGCTGAAATGTGGAACTCACATGTACTCTCTACTCCCATTAAACTAATATAGAATGCGTAAAGTGAAAAATCTCGGATAGACTATAGCTGTTTTGCACGATAATCGATGTGCAGAGTAATGATCTATCTAATTTCTGCATTTTTAACAGATTTTTTTTAAATATTTCTACGACGCCTTATTTTTTTGTTTTCATTATTGCTATTCGCTCATTATTTTTCTTTTTTTAAAGTCGTTTTTCTTAATTTAACATTCTCATTATTATAATCATTGAATTAATTGATAATATTAGTCTGTTTTATGTATTCATGATATCTAAAGACGATCTTACATACTATCACATATATTAATCAACTCATAGATAATGATGTTCATTATTCTTCAAAATTATAACTTGATCGATTTTACAGAAAAAATACTTTAGAAAAAAGAACGTCTGTTATTTTCGATTGCTAAGGTCTG